AGCTCGGCCAAGTTTTCTATGACCTATATTTATCTCCTCTCTCTATCCCTTTCTATCGCCCCCCTCACTTTCTTTCATACTTTCTTTCTTTCAGTTGTGTATCTGTTTCCTTTTGTGGCTTCTTTCTATCACTCCTTTCGCTTTGATCGTCGTTCTCAAAGAGAGGGAAAGAAAGGGGTTACTCTGTAATTTTCCAGCGTGGTAGCTTTTTGCAATATTGCACATTGCCATATAGGAGATTAGATATTGTATAACAGCAATGTTCGTTTGACAGGCGAATGAGACTTATAAATATGGCTAAAAAAATTATCTAACACGACACAGTGAACCAGCTTTCCTACCAAGCCGACCTGATACGATATGATAGTTTCACTTCGTGCCCGAGGAAAACGTTACACCACGAAGGGACAATGATTTACTCACTTGGAGCTTATCATCAGCTTTGCTGATGAAAATCGAAAAAAGGTTCTCTGAAACGGTTAAAAGATAGTTATGAGGAGCGTTCAGATTATCAAGCCTTTTCTTGCCCCGGTTGGTTATTTTCAAGATCAGTGACTTATCATGAAGGAAAGATGCCGGACAGAAAAAAAAATCTCGCAATATGTGTTGTTTAGTGGCAAGGACGAAGCAAGGGTCACATGCTCTCCCCGATATATACAAAATAAGTACAAATTATCTAAATACAAATTAAAGACCTGTCATAACAGATCATCATCATCATCATCCCCTTGACTTTTGCAATTGTAGGGCGGATCCGAATGCTGAAGCCACACTAACTCTTTTCCACAACGGTCTATCAATGACAGCCATTAGAAGTTCTGGTACAGTCATACCTGTCCATTGTGCAACCAGTTTTTGCTTTGGCGTCTTCTCCAATGTCCAATTTCAACGGTGTCTTGCATAATGGCCTTGCACAGGCTGTCGTACAAAACTGTACAAATCGCTGGTAGTCTCCATTCTCCTATATGGATGTGAAACGTGGACACTGTTGGTAGATGCAGAGAGAAGGATCCAAGCGTTTGGGAACAAATGCATGAGAAAGGTCCTTGGCATTTTCTATTGGGAAAAAGAAAACCAATGAGTTTGTGTAGAAAAGGGTTGAAAGTTTTGATGGACACAAGGAATCTCTTCTTTTATTTTCCTTTCTACTCACTAATGCCTCCTAATTCTAGTAATCTCATGCATCTTAGTGGCATTATCGCCATCTTCTGTCTTTCTGAAATCTGTTCTTTTATTGTCCTTTCTCCTCACTAAAGCCTTCTCGTTCTCTTTCACTCCCAGAAACCCCTTGTGCCTTAGAGACATTATCGACGAGCTTGGACATACATTTATGTAAGAATTCAGAGTGTTATTTAAATTATTTAGACTCGGACTACTGTCCTCATCTTTGTTGTTATTATCACAACTTTTCGGTCGATGTGCTTTTCGGCTTTCATCAATTGCTTGCTAATCCGAGTACCATTCAGTAGATTTCGAACCAAGTCCTTTATTTATCTACGGGGACTGCTTGTTAATCCCGGTAATCTTCAATGAATTTCGAGCTGAAGCCTTTATGGGCTGTTCTCAATCTGGATAACCTTCTGTGAATTTCAAACTGAGTCCTTTATTTATCCATGGGTCTGCGAAAAAAGTCATAGCTAAAAGTGAACATGATAGAAATCGAAGCTTCTAAGCGTTTCAAGATGGCGCCGATTAAAAACGCTTTGTGAATTGCAGACGGACAGTATTTTCACGTCACGAAACTAATTTCAAATGGCGATAAGCATGAGAGACACCTTGAAGAAAGACTTAAAAGATTTTTTTTTCCTTCTTTGTGAAATAGCTCATTTTTACCTTTCTCGATTTCTTAAGAAGCGCGTCTGCTTTTTTTTTTCTATTTAGAAAATATGATATCAAAAGATATCTTACAAAATCACACGAAAAGAAACAAAATCTAACAAGGAGGAGTCTTTTCTACAACCACAAAACACACATTCTTTAGTCAGGTTTTCTATAAAAGTTTCCATAACTTCGATTGGTGAATCGTTCTTTTTTCAGACAATTTTTAATATACACGTTGTATACACAGATATTCGCAGAACCACCTACTTACCGCCCCCATATATATATATATATATATATGTGTGTGTGTGTGTGTGTGTGTGTGTATATATATGTGTATGTATATATATATATATATATGTGTGTGTGTATGTATATATATATGTGTATATATATATATATATATATATATATATATATATATATAATTTATTCGAAAAATATAACATAAATATTTGATTTTATAACATATTTCTGTTAAAATTTTCGAATAAATTATATTTTACTCTGTATTGACCACTATTTTTAAGATTATTACTTTTTGGTTATTGGAATTTATTCCGTATACACGAATCCTATACTTGGGTATATATATATATATATATATATATATATATATATATATATATATATATATAGATAGATAGATAGATAGATATACAAGTATAGGATTGGTGTATACGGAATAAATTCCAATTACTATTCTTAAAAGAGTGCTCAATACAGAGTAGAGCGAATATAATTATTTATTTAAAAATTATAACATAAATATGTTATAAAATCACTACAGAAATATCCATTTTGTTTCAACACCTCTGGTGTCTTATCAAGTGATGATGTTGAATGTAGATTGTAGAATAAAGGTTTTAAAAGGTTCAAATTAATTAACCACCCCTCGTAAGGGGAAACGCTGTCACATGAGCTGAAATGACCAATCAAAATACAAGTATACGAGAAGTCAAAAAACTTGACAACGAATTAAGGTTATAATAACTATGAAATGCTTTAAAGTTGTTTTTTATATATACTTGTATATACCAAGCCAAGATAAAATCACCAGATAATGAAGAAAAAGTATACATATGAGTAACTGAAAGACCCTGTAAACAAAGAAATTATACGCACAAAACATATTTCATAAATAGTAAATATGCGAACAGCACAATGCTTTCTAAGTATATCTGGGAAATTAAAAACAAAACGTACATCACACCAAAAATATCATGGAAAATAAGGAAAAGATCATCAGCCTACAACAACCAATCAAAAACTTGCAAACTCTGCTTGCAGGAAAAATAGCTAACTTTCCCAGACCAAAATAAATTATTAAATAAAAGATCCGAGCTCATCTCAAAATGCAGACAGGAAAACAATTTTTTGCTACGTTACTTAAAAATCGAAAGCGGAAAAAATAAAATAAAAATAAATAAGTAAATAAACAAAATTACAATAAAATAAGCAAAATAAATTAACCCAAACAAATTACCAAATCACACCTGTTAGAATAGACGAAATAGAATAAAAAAATAAGAAAATAAATCAATGAACCCACATAAATAAAGTAAATAATAAACAAATTAGCAAACCATTATGAGCAAAATATTAGTTAGACTATAAAAATCAAACCAAAAATCGGACGAAAAAAAATTTTAACTGTTATATAACAATAAAAAAAATACTACGTCACTTAAAAATCGAAAACCGAAAGGAGAAAATATACAGTATAACAAATGAATAATAAGTAAAATATATTGACCTAAATTCATCCAAACAAATAAATAAACTAACAAACTGATCTCGATAAACTAACCGTTAGAAAAAATAAATAAAGATAATCAATACAAATAAATACATGAAGCAATAAACAAATTGAAAACTGTTCCCGCCAAAATAATAGTTAGAATATACTACAAAAATCAACCTCCAAATTGAATAAATAGCTTGAATTATCTTCCCAAACCAAAAAAAACTATTAAATTTACGATATAAACAAAATTATACTACGTTAATAAAAACAACGATTAAAATAAAAAAATAAATAAATAAGATAAGAAATAAAAATAAAAATAAAAAATAAAAACAAGCAAAATAATTTAACCCAAATAAATAAATAATCAAATAAACGACTTCCGGTAAAATAACCCCCAAAATATAAATATATGAAGAGAGGTCGTCTCCCTAGACCAATGATATCAAGAAGGCAGCATTCAGCCGAATCGACTTGAACCCGAGTCTCATGCTAACCAATCGTTACCCGCCCTCACTATATATATCGTCAGAAGATTTTATATATATATATATATATATATATATATATATATATATATATATATATATATATATATATATATATATATATTGTGCGTATATATAATCTTCTGACAATTGCGCTTAAGTATGAAACAGACAGTTGTCGCTGAATCTTGACCTCAATGTCCATGTTTATATTTACCAACGCTCGATCCTTGACCACTTTAACCCATAACTAGAAGAATATATATATATATATATATATATATATATATATATATATATAAAAAACGATATATACGTTATATATAGAACAGCTTTAGGAAAATCTATGAGAAATTTGAAAAAGAATTATGGCACATACATATATTGACATAGATACTTGTGTGGTCATCTCCTCTTTCCTTGCCCACTGTCTCTTTCATACTTCTCTCTCTTTCTCATTTCCCCCTCTCTCTCTCTCTCTCTCTCTCTATATATATATATATATATATATATATATATATATATATATATATATTGCAACATTGACCGCTTGAGTTTATAATAATAGTGTTCTATGTAAAAAGTGTTATATTAATATATATATAAATTGTATATAAATATTATGTTTCATATATATATTATATATATACATAAATATATATATAACATATATATATATATATATATATATATATATACATAAATATATAGATAATGAGAGAGAAATATATGTATACACAGGCACAAACACACATACACAGATAAATACAAATATATATATAGAGAGAGAGAGAGAGAGAAAGGAAGAGAGAGATAAAATAGACAGAGAGAGATGGGATTGATCACGCAGCTATATGTGTGTGCAACATCCCTGCCTCTCACTCTAAATATATATGTATATATATATATATATATATATATATATATATATATAGAGAGAGAGAGAGATACCTAGATACGAAACGAGTCTAGTTATTTATATTTATATGTATATATATATATATATATATATATATATATATATATAATTAGTACAGAATATATAATTAGCTCTGACCTATAATCTTGTTGATATGTAATGGTCGCCATCTTGTCTCCTTGCTTCCAATTTCTTTCTTCTTTATATTTTTCCC